TTGCATACGTAAAAAAAAAAACTGCGGCGGACCCAACGCCGCAGTTTTTTTTTTGAGCAGGAAGAGGCTCGGCGTCTATCCCCGGTTCGACGATCCAAACTCCTTTTTTTTTTTTTTCTTCCTGATACTATGCAAATTTCCTTCGGACAATGTCTGCAGTTTCTCTTCCCACGATTCTCCCCTCCTCTTTTCGATCAAGATGAACCATCACTTCGCGATCGATCTCATCATCGATGTTGGGATGCATTGAAATTCGGCCAATAAATTCCTCTGCTCTGTGTCAGTAGAGGTTCACGTGCCTTTATTCCATTTTCCGGTAAAAGAAAAGAAATTGCAACTTGCCTGTTGCACATTTACAAGAAATGGGAATGTGCAACATTTCCATTTCTCATGGGAAAATCAGTTAGATGTCGACAATGACCGTTGGATTTCATGGCGGAATTGTTGCCAATTCGGAACTTGTAGGAGGGGAAAGGAGGAACTGGAGTATCAAACGCTTGTTCTCTGGATCCTCAATCTTATTCAGAGATTAGCGGCAAGGATGAGCGTAGCTCGGCATTTTGCTCGGGGGTTCATCAGGGTCCAGCCAAGATTATGATCTTCGTCGGTCGTTCCACAGAACCCACTTCTCATCTGACGCGATGGTCCGACCAAACATCGGGTCTTCCTTGTGACGCGACGGCAAAGATGAGCAAACGGTCGCTCTTTTAAATCTTCCCAGTTTCGGACAAATCGTGAGGGACTTATTCGTCCAGTATCCGCACCTTTCCCATGGCGTGAAGGCGATCGGACGCGGTTGTACGGTCGCAGCCGAGTTTGCTCGCCGATTCAGACGCGGTTTGGCGCGGATCATCTTCGATCGTGGATTTTACCGCATCGATGACGGATGGGCGTCCAGAACGGAGTTCATCTCGAAGAGTTCGATCTCCAGGTGAAAACTTCTCAAACCGTTCGTATGCCGTGGATTTTCTCAAACAGGCATCGGGGTGCAACTTCTTATCGCCCCTTATCGAACTGGAGAAGTAAGCAATGTGGTCGTCGAGCCGCATTTTTTAACCGAGCGGGAAAACTTTTGCCTGAAAGCTATACACGGCAGATGTACAACATTTTACCGAGCTTTTCAGCGTCTTTCTTTTCATATATAACATAGCCACAGAACAAGCTTAGGCGGCGCGACACGAACCCCTCAAGCTTAACCCACAAAAAGTTCCGGATACTTTTTCCCAAACCTAATAGATACATGTCAGCGAAAGTGCCTACATGTTGAAAGACAATTGCTTATGTAATACCATTATCAGGGTGCTTCTTCATCCACTCATTTGGGTGGGCATACCCCTTTCAAATGCAGAGAAACAGAAACGTAAATGGGCCAAAATTCCTTCCGACCCAGAAAAATATGGGACAATAAAGGCCAAGGACAGAAAAAGGCAGCAGAGGAAAAGAATTGAAATGTGAAAGAGCAAAGAGAACAGCTGATATGCAGCTGCAAAAGAAAGTCAAAGAAGATGCAGGCAGAAGAAGAGAAAAATATCATTTAGAAACTGCAACGATCCAGAGGGATTCCCAACGTGAATCTTCAAAAGTTGTATTGCGAGTCGATTTTGCAGAGAATTACATTTGCGAATTCAACATGAAGTCCAGAGTGCCCATACCCTTACGAAAATGTCCTATAGGATTCCTATATATTCCTAAAGGCATATATAGGAATCCGATAGGAATCCTATAGGAACCTAAAGGAATCCAATAGGATCCTATATGCCCCATGGAGTTCAGTTTGGGACCTATAGAGTTCCCTATAGAACCTATAGATCCCACAATAGAACCTATAGGGTTCCCTATAGAACTAATAGGGTTCTCCATAAGGCCTATAGCTTCCCTATAGGACACAAAGGGTTCTGTATAGGACCCGTAGGTTTCCCTATAAAACCTATAGGGTTCCCTATAGGACCTGTAGGGTTCGCTATAGGGCCTATAGGATTCTCTATAGGACCTGTAGAGTTCCCTATAGGCCCTATAGTGCCTATACGGAACCCTATAGGTCGTATACGGAATCCAATAGGCCTATAGGATATGCTAGGCTCATGCTAGGCTTATGCTAGGCTCATGCTAGGCTCATGCTAGGCTTATGAGACACGGATCGCACACTGCCTTACAGCTTTTCGGGTTTTCACTTTTTCCAATAGGACATTTCCGTAAGGGTTGGCGTCAAACGCAAGTCACAGCCTGGAGTGAGGGAACTTGCCATTCATTTACTATAATCAGTGACTACTTATCGCTTGGCAAATATGGTGCAAGACCTGACATGCAATTTCCTAAGATGGGAAAACTAGTCGTTCCCATCCGTTCCATTCCCGTATTTTCTTTGCCACAAGTCACGGCAAAGTCTGACCACGAGAGCCAAGCGATAAACTCAGTGGAGTCATTCACAGATGCTGCGGTTTGTCAAAATGTGCGCATAGAGCTCGTTCCGTTAAAAAAAGATTCTAAAATTCAAAGCCATCCTTGATGAAAGGTATCATGGAATTTATGCTTTGCCAGCTACGCAGTCCATTCATTGTGTCGATGTAATTGGCCAATTGCATCGCAGTTAAGGGTCACGGGAAGGAAAAAAATCCAAAGTTTGGAACTTCAAATTAGCCAAATATGTTAATACAATTGAATCTGTGGAGGATGATACCCATCATTAAGTGCTCATAGTATAAGCCACAATATCACCAGAACATGCTGTCATTGCAAGAAATCAAGAAGGATAGAAAGAAAAAGTTACATTTGATTGTGACATTGGTATAATAATATATATATTTAATGCGTGATTCCTTCCCAGTAGAATTCCTGAAGAGAACACAGTGAACGTGAACTTAATTTACCTTTCTCATGAAATTTGGTAAGAGTATTGTTTTCACTGCATGCAGCGAAATTTAGAGGACAGCTCACAATTATTGGCTCACAATCATTGGCTCACAATTATTGGCTCACAATTATTGGCTCACAATTATTGGCTCACAATTATTGGCTCACAATTATTGGCTCGGAAGGAAGAAAATCTCGTTGATATGTGTTACGTTCCCAGTTGTCAATCGTGATCGGATGATAAGTTGTCAATTTCCAAATTTGAGTTAATTAACTGAAGTTTCATTGCATGTTGAAGCATTTTCAAATTTCAGTGCTGATATAAGCTGGAACTGAATATGAATGCTGGAAATTTATCTTCTTGCAGTTATTTTCAGATTGGTGTCACGTCCGACACTGTCCCGGAATGACCTTGCTTACCTTTCCTAGAGCATCTATCAAGGTCACTAAGTCAGGGTTTACCTTTCACCTGCGAAATGATTGAATTAGTAATTTAATCAAACTCCCACATATCACAGAGTTTCGATTGCAAGCGAAGGGCACTCAACATTTGGGTTCATGAAACGTCACGTCCCACACTTTCATTCGAAAACATGTACAGCCCTTTCGAGGGAGACTAAGTGGGGTCGTGAAATTATCAATTTTGTGAGACACATCTAATGCAGCGTTTATATTGAATGTCACACCGTGGACACGCCCAGATGGTTTCACCTCCTCTTGGAAGCCGAGAGAGGTGCTCCTCATCGGGCGTCCTCTTCCCCTCGTCCTCGTGGAAGATTGACGGTTTTTTGGTGATTTTATTTCTTTGAAGACTTCGGTGCTGCGAATCCCGCGCCATTTGTTTGCGAGACTGCAAGAATTGCGGCTACTTTTGACTCGGCCTCGCATGTTTTGGTGCGACGAGGTTCCGTCCCACAACGCGTTTTAGACCCTCGTATTTTTCTAGTAGTATTCCTGACGCGATTAGATGCTACGAGATTCCATTGCAAGCAGATAGCCCTCAAAAGTAGGGCACACACCAGTCACGCTTGAAATCATCTCGATTGTCCCGCACGAGTGCGAACGAGCAGCAGCGGGAAGGAACTGGCTAATGGGAACTGGCTAATGGGAACTGGCTAATGGGAACTGGCTAATGGGAACTGGCTAATGGGAACTGGCTAATGGGAACTGGCTAATGGGAACTGGCTAATGGGAACAGACTAATGGGAACTGGCCTTAAAAATCGGGCCGCGGTGACAGGAACCGCAACGCGGTGACGGGAACCGCCCACCTATCAGTCGGTCGGCGGCTCTCCCTTAAGGCCGCGCATTATCTAACGTAAACACGCTGCACTCGAGTGGCTTCACGCTACGTACTAGGACCAAGCTCCCCGCCCGAGCAAAAGGAAAAATCCTGTTGGAAAAAGTGAAAACCCGAAAAGCTGTAAGGCAGTGTGCGATCCGTGTCTCATAAGCCTAGCATGAGCCTAGCATGAGCCTAGCATAAGCCTAGCATGAGCCTAGCATAAGCCTAGCATAAGCCTAGCATGAGCCTAGCATGAGCCTAGCATAAGGTGAACGTTTTGCCAAACAATTGATTGATTGCGCAGCAATTGATTCAAAGGGGTTAGATAGAGCTTCTTTGCTCGCCGAAGTAAGGCGAAATTATTTCCTCCCATCATTGGCGTATTTCGGCGGAAGATTTGGGCCCCCCCCCCCCCTGTTAAATACGCCACTGCTTTGCGATGCAAATGTGCATACTTTCATCTGACACTGCCAATATCAACCCAAAATCTTTTTGCAAATTATTTTTTTTTCTGCGGCTCTGTTCTTTTCACGAGTGAAAGACGATCTCAATTGAAGACAGTCTCACATTTCCCGCCAATCCCGTTTCGCAGATTTTTTTCGCGAAATAGCCAAAGCATGCATTTCGCGTTGCGCGGTGGATGAGACGATTCCCCAAATTTTGAACATGGAGCTTCCGTCTTGAATTGCCTCTTTTTTTCCATTATTATTGCTGAGATTTTAATGTGAACTGAGAGCACCTCTACTCATGTCGAAACGCTCAAGTGCAAAATAAGGAAGGATCATGCAGGAAGGATCATGCATGTTGCACATATACTTTAAAAAGCAATTCTATTATTTTTCTCCCCGAAACCGACTTCTTCTTCAGATTAGTCTCCAAGTCACAGCCAGAAATAAAACACTCCTCAGGCAACGAAAAAAATTTTTTTTTTTAATCAGAAAAACTCTCCCCCGACTCAGTCACCCCTTCCCTCCCCAGAAAAGACGATGGCCCCAGGCCACCTGCTCGCAAAGGCGTACGCCAGCCACACGCTCTCCGCGTGGGGAGATCGGATGTGGACGTTCGCCATCGGCCTCTTCCTCGTCCAGCTCACGCCGGGTTCCCTTCGACTCACCGCCGTCTACGGCATCGTCGTCGCCTGCACCATCCTCCTCTTCTGCTCCTCCACGGGGAACTGGGTCGACCGAGCTCCTCGTCTGAGGGGTGAGCCACGGAATGCGACTTCATTTTTAGTGGGTCTACTTTCCTGAAAGGAAAGAGACCACTTATTGTCCCGTCCTGCCCGTCCGCGTGTCCGCGTGTCCGCGTGTCCGTGTGTCCGTGTGTCCGTGTGTACGTGTGTCCGTGTGTCACACTTTGGTTGTCCAACGAAAACTAAAAAACTATTGGTCTGATCAATGCAAAAATTGGCAGGTGGGTATATATGAACAAGATGGCTGAGTTCGTTTTGTAGTGAATTTGCCCAAAAATTGGCATGTTCATTGCAAATTTTGGATTTGAAATCTGATCACGGAGGGGAAGGCATGAGTACCTGTTCGCCCTTCAGGATGTAGATCACAATGCGCATGCGCATACGATCCAGGCTCTGAGCGCGGCGCCGTGTCAGCAACCAGAGCTGTCAGTGCCCTGCCGACCTTCGTGGCGGATGGATCCAGCCACGCACGGCCCTCCATCCTCCCGCCATCGTTTCAGGGGCACCGTTTGTCTATGTTTACCAAATGTAAATGAGAAATGAGGTTTTTGATTGTCGAAGACCGGAAAGAGATGGCATTTTGTCCAAGTAGGTGACAGAATGAAGGTTTCCTTAACTGATAGGAAGCCCACTACTGGATTGGGCTTGCCCAACTTGTTCAATAGGTAGCAATGTATGGCGTTCCTCGGCGGGACTCAAGGCCCACCCATGTGCATTCCAATTGCAATGTCCAATGTGGATATTGCAATTGCAATGTCCAATGTGTATATTGCAATTGCAATGTCCAATGTGTATATTGCAATTGCAATGTCCAATGTGGATATTGCAATTGCAATGTCCAATGTGGATATTGCAATTGCAATGTCCAATGTGGATATTGCAATTGCAATGTCCAATGTGTATATTGCAATTGCAATGTCCAATGTGTATATTCCAATTGCAATGTCCAATGTGTATATTGCAATTGCAATGTCCAATGTGTATATTGCAATTGCCACTCCTGCCAAGTTTGAGTTGGAGCTTCCTTGGGTTGAATGACAACCTGAACCTGTCCCGACCTGTAAATGCTGCATCTTGTCACGATTTGCACCACCTTACAGGACAGGGCAAATGACAGCTGCAGCGTTTCAGGCCAAATTTTCGAGCCAAACCGCCGACCGTGGCCCCTCGGAACGCGGCCAGCTCCCTTGGTGCTACTATTTGCCTTTTGAAGTTCCTTCTTCATAATTTGATTGTTGGGTTTCTCATGTTTTTCTCACCATATTCATCTAATTCCCCACATTTTAATTCTAATTCAATACCATATTGGTATGGCACTTCTTATCGCAGTTTATAACTCGCAAATCGGGTTTGGCAGAGATTTTCATGCAAAAAAAAAAGCCAGATGCAAATATCTGAGCTTCCTTTAAATGTTTAGGGAAGGAAAAGGGAACAATCGAGCCATTCCCAGTTTCACCTCACAAAATTGATGAAAGGTCTTGCCCAAAATGCAATTTCTTCTCATGTGGTAAAATGGTTAAAATGTAAAAAAAAAATGAAGATCTGAGAGTGTTAGTAAACACAAACACATCTTTATTTATAATAAAAAAAAGACAGTGATACTCAAACATTTCTTTCGTAAGCTTAAGTCAATGCAAGCAGATTACTGCACATTACTGGGCGATGACCAAGATGTGTAAATATTCTTAAGCAGTAAATGGCGAAACTTTCGATTCTGTTTTCATTTGAATAATTTGGGAAAAGAAATTATATTCACTGAAACAACTCATAATTTCAATATCGGTTTCTCGCCGAGAAGCTTTTCACCCTTTGGGAAATGCACTCGAGTGATTTTTCCGTTCCAGCGGCCCAGGTGGCCTTGGCCGCGAACAATCTGACGATCGCGCTGTGCGCGGCGGGGGTCTGCCTCCTCTTCGTCTATCGGCCGCGGTGGGAGGGGACGTGGGCGGTCGCCGTCGCGGAGACGGCGGTCATCGCCCTGGCCGCCGTCGCGGCGCTCGCCTCCGAGACCTCCAAGATCATCGTCCAGAGGGACTGGGTCGTCGTCATCGCCGGCGGCGACAATAACCAGTTGGCCAGTGAGTTCTGGGCGTGCCGAGAGACTTTTTTCCTATCCTGCCTTCATCGCGGATGCTGAAGGCATTTTTTGACGGAAAAAGTGAAAATATGTAAAATGTGGTACATGCGTTGGTAATGGTCGAAATAGCAACGAGTGTTACGGAAAATTATTACTATCAAGAAATATATTCATAAAAGATGATCGACATTTGTGGTTTCAACATTTCTGCATCCCTCTGGAAACGAATTATACTGAATTCCTAATTATGGAAAGTTCCTAATCCCCCTAATGAAATCCCTAATCCCCTAATGAAATCCCTAATCCCCTAATGAAATCCCTAATCCCCTAATGAAATCCCTAATCCCCCTAATGAAATCCTTAATCTCCTAATAAAATCCCTAATCCCCCTAATGAAATCCCTAATCCCATAATGAAATCCCTAATCCATTTTCCCATTTGCGTTCCTCACCAGACATGAACGCCGTGTTCCGGACGATCGACCAGACGACCTACGTCTTGGCCCCGACCCTCGTGGGAGCGGTGATGAGCTTCTGGAAGCCCGCGGGAGCCGCCGTCTTCCTCGCGGCGTGGAACCTCCTCTCGGTGATCTTCGAATACGGGCTTCTGCGGGCCATCTTCAGGGCCCTGCCGGAGTTGGCCCACAAGACGGCCATCGACGACGACGCTCCCCGGTCTATCGGCAGCGGTAAGAGTCGGCCGACTGGCAATATTGAGGGCAATTGTTGAAATTGCCTCAGTTGAGCCTCCCCGGTCTCGAGGCTTAACAAATCGGAATAATTGCCACAAGAGCAATTTCAAGCAGCTTGCTTCAATCCGTTGCATTGCGATCCGAGTGTGCAACAAATTGCCTTCAGCAGTTTTTTTTTCCTGCTGCATTGCTACAGAATATCGCTAATCCCGAGATTAGCGATATATATAGATTAGCGATATATTAGCGTGACGACATGCTTTCCCGGGAAATTTTCTCCTCACCGAAATGAGCATGAAAAAAGAAAACAGTTCCGGAGAAATCTTGCTCGAAAGAGTTGACAGCCCTTAATAAATGTCAGAATTTTTTTTTGTAAATAATGCTGACATTAGATAATCTATTATTTTTCCCATTAAAATTGTTCTTAATGTCCCACCCGATGACTGTGCCATAGTGCCATACAGACCAGAACTCAAAACGTGGTTGAAAGTTTTTGAAACTCCTGATAATTGTTCAGTCGAGGAGAACCGATTGCATCGTTTTTTCTTTTTTTATTGAAGACCTTCCAGACCCTCACGAGGAAGTCCCCGCCCCGCCGACGACCGCCCCGCCGACGACCGCCCCGGCGACGACCGCCCCGCCGACGACCGCCCCGGCGACGACCGCCCCGCCGAAGCAAATCCTCCGCAGCCTCGCCGCCTGGAAGCACTACTTCTCCCACCCCGTCTTCCCCGCCGCCTTCGGCCTCGCCGCCCTCTACATGACCGTGCTCGGCTTCGACAGCATCACCCAGGGCTACCTCTACTCCCAGGGCGTCGCGGAATGGCTCGTCGGACTCCTCACGGGCGTCGGCGCCCTCACGGGCCTCCTCGGCGCCGTCGCCTTCCCCTCCGTCCGTCGACGCCTCGGCATCGAACGCACCGGCCTCTCCGGCTTCGGCCTCGAGAGCTTTTCCCTCTGCTTCTGTGTCGCCGCCGTGTTCACGCCTGGGTCCCCCTTTCAGGTCAATTCTCTCTTTTGCATCATATGGACTATTTATTTTTTCTTAATGTAAATGTCAACAATGCCTTCTTCTTTGGGCTGATATGTTCAGGCCATAGAAGTTCCGCCATGAGAGACTTGCCCGCATTCAGTGAGCAGTTTGCCACAGAGACCCAGCCGCCTTCCTGTCAGTTTCCCTTGCTGCGGTCCCCATTGCATCCCCATTGCATCCCCATTGCGTCCCCATTGCGTCCACTTTGCTCTGAAGCCATGAAGGTTAACATCAGGAATGTTTCCGGCGTTTGCCGGGAAACCATCGCATGTTGAACTTGTACGACACAAAATTTCGGTTTTTCCTCGTCCTCGAAATTGCTGCCTTTCAAATTTTTTAGTAAAATTTTCATTTCATGGGACTCTCCGATCCCTAATAAATGCAATGGTGGCGACGGGTGGCAGCGGGTGGCGACGGGTGGCAACGATTCCTCGGCACGAGTCGGCGCGCCTGCTGGCTGGATTCGGTTCGGTTTTCAGTGCCTCGAAGGGGGACCGCGATGCCTTCATGACCTTGTTTTGTCGTTCGAGATTCGTTCATCAGATGTAATGACTCCCAGTAATCATCAGATGTAATGACTCCCAGTAATCATCAGATGTAATGACTGCCTGTAATCATCAGATGTAATGATTGCCTGTAATCACCAGATGTAATGGCTGTTATGCGACGCGCCACATTTTTTCGGCGGCAATGCGAAGGGAAAGGACGGTCACGTGATCCCCGACCGGTTTTTCCATCAAATCTCTTCAACGCCGTCGCCAAAAAAAAAGCTCTTGAAACCGATGGATTTACACGAGATTATGATTTTTTGCTTCTTTTCAGTGGGACTACCTCTGGGATCCCGCTCCGTCCAACTCCACCGCCGAGCCGACTGGGAACGCGACCGCGACCGGCGCGGAAACGGGGACGAACTCGGCGATCGCAGACGTCACGATCTCGCTCGCTCTGTTCGTGACTGGCATCATCTCCGCCCGATTCGGTGGGCTTTCCGTCTTTCTGTCGGCGAACTGATCCCTTGCAAGGGCTCCATGTTTTTTTGTTTGTTTTTTTTTTTGGAAAAACAAAATGGGTCCGTCTCACAAAGTTAGGAAATTCTTCCTCTGGTTCAGCATGGACTGCATGAATTATGAAGTTGGCTAATTAGTTATGCAGTTGGCCAATTGTTAAATATGAAGTTGGCTAATTATGAACTTCTAATTAATTATGAAGTTGGCTGATTATCTGCTGATTATTAACTTATCATACCAATGCCGTATAATTTTAAAATGGAACCAGCACTAAAAGAAAGCGACTCTCACCAATTTTGCATCTTCGGCCCCGGGGAAGGCCTCTGGCTGGCGGACCTCTCCGTGACGCAGATCATCCAGGAGAAGGTGGAGGAGGCGCGCCGCGGGAGCTTCAGCGGGGTGCAGAGCTCCATGAACATGGTGATGGACCTGGTGAAGTACGGCCTGGTCGCGGGCCTCCCGGGCCCGCAGACCTTCGGCTACCTCGTCGTCGCGTCCTTCCTGTTCGTCTGTCTCGGGTGAGTGCGTGCATCCCTGGAGGCGCTTGGAGACTGTGCCTCCTCCCGCCTGGATGAGGATTGCAGGAATGTCATGAAGCGCGAGGCCCGCTTTCTCTCTCGCCCGAACCGCTTTCTCTCTCGTCGCAGATGGCTGTCGTTCGGCATCTACAGCCGCCGGCAGCGCGGCCACCTCCTGCCTCACCTCGAGAGCCTGGTGCCCTGCCTCCGCAAGGCCGAATCGCTCCGCTACCAGCAGATGAAGGCCGGCGGGTACGGGACCATCCGCGTCCCGGAGGAGTCCTCCCTCGGCTCGGGCCCGGAGGAGTCCACTCCTCTTCTTTCCTGATGTTTCCTTGTTTTTTTATTTATTAATTAGTTCTTAATTTTTGGCACGAAGCACGCCATGTGAATTTTCGCATTGTCCTTTTAGCATATGTGATTCTACGGGAAACATTTTTTCTCCTACATATCAATGGCGATTGACCTTGTCGCTGTCCTTTAAGTTCCCATTGCGGGGAGTCTCCTCTCGTGTTTGGTACGATTTCATCTTTTGCTTGTTTTTTTTTTTATTATCAAGATTTTACTTTAAATGACATCATTTATCGTTCATCATCGGCGTTATTTATCCTCCATCGTTCTGCCCGAGAATTCTTTGTAAACCTGTGCAATACTTCCATTTTTCCTTGATATTATATAAATACGAGGTATTTAATAGAATGTGATATAATACAACAATTTCTCGTATGTGATATAATACATTCACTTGCAATAAACGTGGCTGGCGGGCGTCTTCCTGCCCAAGGGAAATGTATTTTTTTTATTCTGCTGCTGCATGCTTTGTTTTATTCATCAACTAATGGCTATATCAGTAACATCTTTATGTTATATCTTAATACCACACATCATCCTGAAAGATACACATGTAATATAAGCCTAGATTCCGTTTTGCATCGAAATCTCACAAATTTTCTTTTTTCCCCCTATGGAATTCCCATAGAGCGTCCTCCGCGATTCGCGTTCCTTGCCTCCGCGATTCGCGTTCATTTCGTTTTTCCTTCCGACGTCATTTGAGACTTGTGTTCCTTTTCTTTCGGATGTGTTTTCTTGCCCGCGCAGTTACATTAACCCTCTATTGCAAAATGAGGGGAAATGGCAAACCTGCATTTCGCTGACCATTGCTTCCCCCCCGCCCCAAGAAAAAAAAGTAATATAATATTTAAAAAATAAAATAAAATTAAATAAGCAAAATAAATGATAGTTGACATGACACATTTTTCCTGCGACATTTTCATCACTCATGCAATTGAAGGTTGAGGATAACCGAGCCACATCTTGCGGATCTTTCGTGCGCGATCCTCGCGAACGCCTCACCGCGATAGAACGTTCCGTCTATGACGTCATCGCGAAGGTGGAAACGGACCGAGTGAAGAAGCCACTCCGAGGGAATTTTTCACTTCCCCAGACATTTCCTGGATAAAAAAAAAACCATTGCACCCAAAGAAACAGCCAAGGAGAACGAAGCCTTCCGATTCGAGGCATCGCGACTCCGCCCGGTTCCCTCCAGATGGCGTTGGAAACGCTCAAGGAGGAATTGGTTCAAATAATTCGAATGAAATCGATTCCATTTCCCTCTCTTCGACTTGGTCGCAGAGACGAACTCGAAACCGGAATTCGAGCTGGCGTCGACTTTTCAGTGAAGCAAGTACTGGAACAAGTACTGGAAGTTTCCACATCAAGATTTTTCCTACAGACGCTTCACCGCGATCGAGAGCGGATCGAATGCAGCGGCGGATTCTGCTGGACTCGGCGTCGTTGGAGGTTAGGGAAGCTGTGAGGCTGGATGTGAGGCTGGATGTGAGGAGGGGTCGTTGGGATGGCCCCTCTCCCCTCCCGAGGGGGATGCCGCTGCTTCCATCCACGACGAACGGCTCCGTGTCGCTGGAGGCAAAGGAGTGAAAATTCCTGTTCTCCGTCGAGGGAGGTCTTCGCTTGCGAAGGGCCGACGAGTGGATCCGACTCCAGAGCATGAAGGAAACGATCGTCGAATCGTCCCTTATCAACGTGAGGAATGACCATGGCTGAACCGATTCTGGTTTCAGGAATAATTTGGCTTCTTTAAAAATAGGAAAATCCCTTTTTTTTCATTTTTGTTCAGTTGCAATAAAAAAAATACTTTTGGATATCGAAAGGCTACATTAGGATGATCTCTACCAAACTCTTAATCCACAAGGAACGACGAAGGCCTCGTTTGCAAGATTTTAGCTTCCGCAAATTAATGAGCATTTTCTTGTAATGTGCTGAAACCAGTGCGTATCGCATCATCCGGCATCCGGAATATCCGGACGGCCAAGGGCGGACGCCGAACGGTTTCGCCGCATTTCGATAGTGCGCACAGATGGGAAAGCATGTCGATGCGACTCTCTCTTCTTTTAGAATTAAAAATGCTTGCTCTTTTTTTTATCGCATGCGTGCGATTCCTTTAGCAGACCGTGCGTGTGCGTGGGGGGAATTTGTGTCACAACTGCGACCAAATATTGGGCTTTTTATTTCTTATCTTATCAGTGTGTACCAAACTAGTACTCGATACAGTCCACGTCTGTCTCTTTCCATCCGTGCTCAAAAGCGTCTGAAAAGTTGTGATCGATCGACATGGGCCAGGGGAGGAACAGGTACTCGAAAACCCAGCTGGACATGGAGATGGGGTGCAAAATGGTGGCGACGAAGGTCCAGGCGCAAGTGCCGTACTGCGACGTCATCTTGAAGGTGGAAGACGCTGCGTTTTTCAGCAGCAGGCTCATCTTGGGTGCGTGGTCGCCGTACTTCGACGAGATGTTCGGCTCTGGGGACCGAGAAGCGGCCGGGCGCGAGGTGCCGCTTCCGGGCGTCTCGAAGACCGGCTTCAGAGGAGTGTGGGAGTTCCTCCACGGTCCGGAGTTCTTCATGGACGGAGAGGAGGGGACCCTGGCCGTCCTCCGCGACGCGCGTTTCCTCGGGATCCGGCATCTCGAGTCCATCGTCTCCAGGCGGCTCATCGAGATGCTGGAGCTCCGGAATGCCTTTCTCTTCCTTCGGGCGGCGATGGAACTGGGCGAGAAGGAGTTGGAGGAAGGGGTCCTTCGATTCATGGCTGGCTGCTTCTCTCGAATCTCGACCTTGCCCGGTTTCCTCCAGATGTCCTTGGAGGCGCTCAAGGCTCTCATCCTCCGAGATGACCTGGACGTGAGATCGGAGGAGGAAGTGTTCGAGGCATCCAGGCGATGGGTCGGACACGAACGAGACCGGAAGGAATTCTTGCCCGAGGTCCTGGCGGTTGTCAGGCTTCCGCTCCTCTCCTTCGAGTTTCTCAAGAAAAACGTGATCGCCGATCCACTCGTCAAGGGCGACCTCAGGTGCGACCGGGTCATAAGCGAGGCCAAGAATTACCACATTCCCGAACTTCGGGACATGGTTCCGGTTGCCATGACGATTAAACGCGGAACCGAATATCATGGGATTGAGGCTTCAAAGCAGATGGAAATGAGGTCAGAGTCCACTGAAATTCAAGCCGATCATGCCTTCTTCCTGGCCAAGTCGAAAGACATGGAGAGGCAGATCGCTCGCGTACATCTCAAGTATTTGAAATGTGAGGATATAACAGATCACCCATTTGCTGGGGACGAGTTTTCGTTGCGATGTCTCACCGCGATTGAGAACAGACTCTACGTCGTGGGAGGAGGGGACTTTGAGATATTCGAACTGGACACCATGAGTTGGAACAGCGGCCCGGTGCCACCCACGAACGCGCTGAAATCCTCGTGTGCATCGTCTCTTGCATCCATCTTCGTCTGTGGTGGAATCGAGGATGACAATTTTCCTTCGAAGTCGGTTTATGGGTTCGACTTGGAAGGACAGAAGTGGACACGGCTGCCGGAGATGATCTACCCTCGGTCGAGAGCGCCGGCGGTGCTCAAGGACTCAACGCTTCACGTCATCGGAGGCCACGACGGAACCAGCGCCATCGCGGCGCACGAGCGACTGGACGTGAGGCAGGGGAACTGGGAGAAGCTGGCCCCTCTCCCCTCAGCGAGATGGGGATCCGCTGCTGCCATCCACAACGAGCAGCTTCACGTCGCGGGAGGCTACACCCTCCACACTCGCAGGCGCGAGCTCTTCGTCTACGACGAGCGGGCCGACGAGTGGATGCAACTCCCGAGCATGTCGGAGGGGAGGTTCAACCATGGGCTCGTCTCGTTCGAGGGAGGGCTCCATGCCGTCGGGGGGTACGAGAACTTCGCCGTCGAGGTCTTTCGCGGCTCCGAGTGGGAGGTCGTCGGGGAACTCCGTTACGATTCGTGCGAACAAGCTTGCCTCGTTGGCTCGCAGACGTGACTGTCGACATTTTTCTGATGTCGACTCGGGCGGGATTGGATTGTACAAAACGGCCTCGAATTGCCGGCTACTTATTGAAGCAATAAAGTAACGTTCGCAAGCAATTTCCACAATTTTTGGGTTGCACAGAATTCCAGACAACTTCAGTGATATTGCTTCTCACGTATCGAAATGACGCCATAATCCGGCGTGTGCAAGACGAGAATTGATTCTTGTTAGATATTGTTTCGGTTCCACACGTTTTTCTCCCTCTACTTGTGAGTGGGAACCACTCACAGCTACAGATGTCAACCGGGATCGCTCAGAGAGGATAAAACAGAAACCACATGAACACCTATGAGTGCCAACGAACCAAAAGCAGGAGAAAAAAAAATCAATTGAGATTTACGAGATCGGGAACGTCTATTACAGTGGGAAGAAATTTATTAGGAAATCCGGTAAGTCCCAGGTTAGAAGAGTAGATGAGGTTGGCCAAATGACGTCACCGGTATACACCAGCCTCGACTGCTCCATTCTCGGCATTGGTTTTCCTCCGATGTAATATTATTTGAAGCGTAATGTCAACATTTCGTAACCAATCGCTGATTTAAGAAAAATATCCCTTAAATTGAAGGGTGTCGCGGAGGGTGTAGTGAGAATATATTATTTACACTGTAGTGAGAATATATTATTTACGGAAATTGTTAACATGCGTCATTTGCCCTTTTGAAATGCCAATGAAAATATGAGTTCATTGTCCGACTTCCTCGCTCTGCGTTGCTGAATACACAAATCAGAGGAAGGGAACTTGTTTGTCACGGAAAATCGCGTGATTTCCACGAAACACCATCAAGATATTCCTTCTCGCAAACAAATTCCTTTCTCACCTTCTTGCCCTTGCTGTGCAATCAGCATTTAAGAAGGTGAACAGATTTTCGGGACATCTCGATGGTCGACTTGGAATTTCGATTGGATCATCTCGGCGAAATCTGACAGTCGACCCCAAAGGGTTGTTTTGGGATCCCGCCCTC